CCTCCGCCCTGCCGAGCGCGCTGGGACAGCTGCTTCCCTGTTTCCTGCCCCTCACTGACCTTCCTTCCTGTTCTTTTTTCTCCGCAGTGCGGCAAAGGAGCAGAAAACTTTGACAAGTTCTTCACACGAGGGCAGCCTGTCTTAACGCCTCCCGACCAGCTGGTCATTGCTAACATAGACCAGTCTGATTTCGAAGGGTTCTCGTACGTCAACCCCCAGTTCGTGCACCCCATCTTACAGAGCGCAGTATGAAACTCACCAACCAGAACAAACGCCTCCCCAGCCCCCAGCACCCTGCCCCACCGCCCCCCCAACCCCCCAGCAGCGAGAAATGATTCTTAACCCTAAAATTTTAAGGCCACAGCCTTGTTCCTTGTTCCAGATGGAGGCCTGAAAATTGTAGGGTTATTTGTCCGAATGCGACCAACTGTTCAGGGTCTCTCTCTTACAACCAAGAACATTATCTTAGTGGAAGATGATAATGTACAGTGTCCAGTTTAATCATGTAGAAGTCACCTCTGGCTGTAGATCAACCCTTCCTAGAAAGTAAACAGACTCTTGCCCCCTTTTCGGTACGATTTGATATATTTTCCGTATCCTCTGGCTGTCAGATTTTCACCATCAGGATCCCCCCACCAGAGATGTGGAAATGAACTTGCCCCCCCCCCCAGCGCAGCAGGCTGGACACCCCTCCACCCAAGGCGCCCAGAGAGTGAGCAGGGCGGGGTCGGGGGTGGGCATCCGTGTCGCTTCTGTCCTCTGCCTCAGCGGACACCGTTCCTAAACCCCGAGGGGCCTGGGCGCCGTTTGCAAGCTCCCTGTTCCCAGACCTTGACAGTCATACCCCGTCATCATCCGGTGGTTACCAGTTTAGAAAAAGAGAGAAAGAAAACCTCAGATGCGGGTTCGGTGGATCTGTCATGTTGTACCCTACTCGGCTGATTCCCTGTCTTGATACTTGCATTTCTTTTTTTAAGAGGCCAAATCTTCTAAGGACTTTGCTAAATGAGCACATGAAATCGTTTCAAATCAAGGAGAAACCAGGGCATACGTTCGTCCACTGTAATCTCTGGGAGATTATTCTGTGACCCGGGGTGCCATCAGCAATCATGGCGCTACTCGCCAGCGTTGTTAGCCAACCCCCTCCCCCACGTGCGGATATTTTGCTACCTACTTCCCGAGAAGCTGAAGTGTGCGCCCCACCCCCTTTTGTACTTATTTATTTAATAGGCCGCAGTGTCGTTGATGAGAGTACGGTGTACAGTAACTTAAAGTGTTGACGCTAGCTAGCAGCAGTCCTTGCTGATGGAGTTCCCTCCCAGCTCTGGCCCTTGACATCCCCTTTGGGATGAAAACCGGTATGGTTTTGGTTCCCCCTTCTAGTTCATGTTGAATGACACACCTGGACCTGTAGAATCAGGAAACCTGAATACATATCAGCTCAAAGATGTTTTACTGCGAGAAGGATTTTCATATGTTTTGCAAATGCATCATGCAATGAATTTTGCATGTTTATAATAAACCTGAATAACAAGTGAATCTATATTATTGATATAATCGTATCAAGTATAAAGAGAGTATTATATAATAATTTTATAAGACACAATCGTGCTATATTTGTGAAGGCTCTTGTTTCTAACCTTTGATGATTAAGTTTGAGTTTAATTCTTCGCTGCCATGCTTCCTCTTCCCCGCCCCCGCCCCATGCGTGCCCTGCACATTGGCGCTGTATTGGAGATATTCATTTTTTTAACATAGATCTAATTTCAGAAATGAATGGCTAATTTACATGATTAATTAGGCATATATATATATATATATACACACATATATATAAATATTCGATTCTACTTGCAAACAAAAGTTTTGGGGGGTTATTTCTGAGATGAGATTCTCTCTTAGCTTCTTAACAGCATCTCCTGTTCGGGTCCCTGTGCCACGCTTCCTCTTGGGGACAGCGGGAAGTGTTTGACTCCAGTGTGGCGAGTACGTTTGAGCAGATGTGTGTCATCACCGCCCCTGGGCTTTGGTTGGTCGGTTGGTTGTGTTTTCCTTTTTTTCAGCCTCGTTACCGTTAGCGACAGGGGGTAGGACGGGAAGGTGCCCTTCCCGATCTGTGTGCGTGGACACGCCAGGAGCGTGCTGTCCAGCTGGCCGCCCCTGAAAGGACCTGCTCGTTTGTTCCAGCACGTGCAGACTTCACGAGACAAACCGTCCGCAGCCCCCTGGGCACGGCCACCCCCGGAGCTCTGAGCAGACTCCTTTTAGAGGCTACAGATTCTCTCTCCAGCTGTTGCTAGAACCAGCCTTTGCAGCCTTGTAAGAAGCACTTCAGTGGTGAGACACCGTCCTCACGCAGGGTCCTCAGAGGAGCCAGTCTCCTACGACAGGGAGAATGTTCAGAACGGAAGCTGCTAGTGGCCCTTCCAGAAAGCTGCTTTGTTTCTCCCTCTTCTCCAAAAGCATCTTCCAGCTAAGTGCCTCCTCGATTTTATTCTGGCTCTTTGCCTGAAATGTTTGTAACATGTGACCACGGAGGGGGCTTTGGGATGAGAGAGCCAGCCTGTCCCGGGAACCCCCGATGGGAGGAAGAGATGGGTAGAGAATGGGTCAGACCAGAGAAAAGCGCCTTCCTCTGCCATCTCTGATGAACCGTAGACTTCAGAACTCCCAAGGGTACCCAGCACACCCAGAGCTGCAGTCCTGCTGGTCAGTGCACGTTGTGGGGACATTTCTTCCCCAGGTGCACCTCGTTTGGTCTGATAGAAAAGGGACCAATTTATAGAAAGAGCCTGAGAAACAAAAGAGCCAGTCACCATGCCCCAGAACAGAGCAGCAGGAGGTCCCCAGAAGGGCACAGAGTCCCAGAGAAGCACACGTGGGGTGTGGGCCATTTGCTCCCGAGCCCCATGCCTCCTGCTTGTGTTAGGCCAGCAGTGGTCACAGGCTTCCCCTGAAACGGCCGACACATTTCCAAATTATTTATACTTCTCCAGGAAACATATTTAGCATCTCAGCCGGCTTGGTATTCTTTCAGAACGTGTGACGAAGTTTTCAAAGAAAATTCTCTATCCGTGGGGCCCAGCACTTTGCCTGAGGGACAGCGGGCTCAAGGACAAACTTAGGGGGAAAGCAGTATGAAACCAGGGCCCGGCGAAGTGTGGTCATGATGTCGCCTGTTCGGTGCTGTGCTATGTGCTGGATTGAGGGAAAGGCTGATGCTCGAAAGATTTTGGCAGCCCAGAATGGTTATTGCTGAAAGAATAAGGCACGTGGGTGACCATTAACAAGACTCTAGCCACAGTGTCGGTTTATAAAATTCTCTGGCATCGTCCCGCTTCGGGGCCATCGTCTGAAATAAAAGCACAAGGAAGGGGCTGCTGTTTTAACTGCAGCAGCCCCGTTACAGGCTGGAATGAGAAGGATGCCTCGAAGGGTCAGGTGACTGGGGGACTCTAGGAAGTTCTGGCCCCTGAGTACCGCCCCAGTCACCAGTACTATCCACGCCCCCGGCAGAATCTAGCACAATCTGAGTCTCCACCGGCCTCGCCGGTCTGTGACTCTGAAAGGCCATCAAATTGCCTTGCCTCATTTTCCCTTGATGGCGGCTGCTGCTTCTGCGGGACTCCCCTCTGAGGCTGCGGGCCAGTGGGCGGTCAGCGCTTGGCGTCTTTTCTAAAGCCACAGGGTGCTTGGTTTGAATGGAAGGATCTAGAGTGTGCTGCCAGGTGCAGTCCTCAGTGGATAAGGGCGGGGTTCACTCAAGGCAAGAACTAACTCAGAAAGTTGATATGAGGCCCCAAGAACCGAAATGATGGCTCATCAACACATTTACTTTCATCCCCATGACCTGTTCAAGTTAAGGCAGAATCACTGTCTTTTCTTATAAGGCTTTCTTATTAGGAATTTCGGTAGGAAGTCAGAGGGTTGAGAGCTCTCTGGAAGCGTGACTTGAGATGGTTGGTTGAAAGTTTATGAAAGACCAAGATTAATGCAAACCAGCAAATGACTGTTGAGCACCTCACTGAGCCATCAGGTCATTAGCAGAGCATGGTGACTTGCCGGAGTGGGCGTGCAGACCACATTCTGACATTCTGAGAAGAGGTCAGCAGAGGCAGAAGTGGGTAAGGAATTTAGCAAAGAGCAGGGTCCGAGTGTGTCGGGAAGGAGGCTTGCAGTAGGAGGAAGCCAGGAGGGAGGGGCAGGGAAGGGCATCCTAGCAAGGAAGCTCCTGCCATTTCCAGCGGCTTTCCATTGGAGGTTTTTGGTGCAGGCGAAAATCACCGACTGCTGGTCCTTGAGAGTGAGTTTGTTGCCAGGGATACAGCCTAGTCCTCAGAAAACATCTCCCAAATGCCAGCAGCATCCTCACCAACTGCTAGAAGCCCCCTTCCCTCCCTATGTAGAGGCAGCTCAAAGCGCTCTGGGCTGAGCCAAACCATCCGTGTGCCCCGAAAGCCAGGAGATTCCCACCCATTTTCTTCTGCAGCTTTCTGCTGAGCGTTATGACAGCCCGGGCTGGATGGAGAAGTAGCGAAACCAACCAGCCCTGCAGTTCCCACCTGACTCCACTCAGCAAGGGAAATTTGAGAGTTTTGTCTGTGCTGAAGAGGGGGCAGGGGAAGTGAGAGGCTTAGGTTTTTAAAAAAGCCTCAGAAAGGCTACACCACCTGATCGTCATTTTCTCACTTTGCTCTTATGGAGTCACCTGTTTCTTGTGTGTGCATCACACCTTTTCCTGTTTCTTTAAACGCAGCAAGGGCAGGAGTGCCTGCTACCCCACAATCACGATCATGAAATGGACACTGGGCCAGGGACCCAAAGAGTGATGACCATGAGGGTCACAGGAACAGCGAGGGCACGACAGAGGGAAGGAGAGGCACACTCTGGGTATTCGTGGCTACATACTAGTTTGACAAGGAGTTGTGGGGAATATTTTTAAAACATTTTCCTCGAGTTGCTGGCCTCCTTTTAATGAAAGATAGCAGACCTTAAACATTTCTGTCATTTCTCATTTGGGCCGATGCAGCAAATCTAGGGGATGCTACATATTTCTGTTAGAAGAGGCAGAAAGTGGGGAAAGGTTGCCTGAGTTATTCATGCCTGAAGGCAGTCACCCGGAAATGGTGTCAGCCACGATTCTGTTCGTTCTGTAATGTCAGGGACTATGTAGGGGAGGTTCAAAGTGAATGTCCAGGATCCCTGCGCCTCTGATCTGTGTGATCGATCAGGTGTCAGTTCATAGCCGTGCAGGTCAAACTCAGCCATCAGACAGCCTTACAAATGACCCTCCACTAAGGCCCACACCTTCCAAAGACTTCTTTTTAAACCTTAAGGAAGAAATGAATTTGTTAATTACAATAGAACAACTGGATATACTGGGCTATTTGTACTTTTTTATAGAGAACTTTAATAATCCTTTTAAAATGAGTTTTTAAAATAAAACTTCTGATAATTTGATAAGATCCCCATCGCGGGGAGCCTGCAGGAGGCCTGGGCAGGGGCCAGCTGGATCACCCCTGACCTGCACTCCCACTGCAGGACTTTGCCCTGCTGGTGGGGTCCGGAGTCCTCATCGGAATGACCAGAAGTTCAGGGGGAAGTTCAAGGGGCAGACAGGCACCCTCCGTATTTTCAATAGACGCTGGGGACAACCGTCTAAGGTCTAGAAATGTTCAGACTGTAGGAAAGGTGGCTTTATTGTCCCCCCTTCCAAACGCAGCCCAGGACAGCATTCTCGGGAGTCCCTGCGGCCCTTTCATCTGCTCGGCGAGGCTCTGTGACCCCCTCTGGTGTGGGAGGGGGTGGGCACATCCTCAGCTCTATCTTCAGTCCCCGGAGGGTACCTATGTCTCTCACACTCAGTGAAAATCCAGAGATGCCCTACAAAGATTTTGCCCACCGGGCAGTTCAGAAACACGTTACTCTCCCCAAGAAAGAAGAGGCAACAGCAAGCATGCCCGCTGGCGCCTGTTCCAGAGTTCATCTCTTATGGGAGTAGACAGAATCCTACTTTTCAGAAAATAAGTATCGAGTCCACTTTATAAGAACCTCTTTTTCTAAAATAAGACGAAAGGGTGGCTTCGCATTTTCTGATTAAACAACTGTGTCTTTGTCTCCTCTGCTTTAGGAGTATTTATTCCTGTGATTGTTCGTAGATTTTTTTGTTGATACTCTTCCTGGAAGAATGTGATTCTTTTCTCGAGGGAATTAATGGACTGTTCAACAATCATACATGAAGGCAGTTATTCTTTTAAGTCTAAATGGTCTAATAATTCACCTCATAGCCCTTCTATTAGGGTCTTTCAGAATAACTTTTATAGATGGTCAGAAACATTTGAAACCATTGCTTTTGCTACATGATGTTTTGTGTGTGTGTGTGGAGGGCATGCCTTGTTTAAATCATTCATTGAAAAACATGGTGTAAGACCCCTGATACGTGTGAAGGAGGGAGGAGAAGAGATGGAGGTTGAGGTTTTTCATTCTGTGTCAGTACTCACTGACAAAACGCGGAGGCCATTCAGCTGTCAAATGACATTAGGTTTATAGGGGGCGAGATGAATGTATAAATTACTGCATATTGCTTTCCTCAGTCCGTATGACCTCTAATCTTTGTTTGCATGATATGCTTTGTTAGATACATTAATTGTGTATGAATAAATATAACGATCATTCCTTAGTGTACTTGGTCTCATTTGCATTCCTCATAGCATCTGGACACGCGTTGCACACACATTCCATTTAGGTTCACTTTCTTTCTTCTTAAAATACTTCAGGCTTTGAATTGAAACTCAGCTACTGGGATAAAGTAGGGGTAGGTCATGCATTCGTTCATTCATTCATTCATTCATTCATTCTGGGCTGTTCCTGAAGCACCGCTCAGGGACAGTGGTGCCAGGCACTGGGCCGTGGTAGAGAGGCAGGCCGGCACCGTCTACCTGCATGCGGCTTACGTTCCCACGCCGCCAGATTACAGGGGACACACAACAGCCGGTGGGGACATCATCCAACGTTGGACTGTGCCCTTCCACCGGGAGGAGGATTTCAGAAGGAATTCAGCTCAAATCTCGGGAATTTTTCTCCAGAAATAGATATTTTCATACTTCCTGTTGGCTGCACTGTAGACTCAGCTTCAGGACTGTCACCACTGTTAGGGGCAGCGGCCCTCGTCCTGTACTTATTCCTGGGTGAAAAACAGGGGGGCATTTTCAAACGTGAAACAGGGAATATTTCAGCATACCCAGTGTCTTCAAGCTCAACACTCTTTAGGGAATTAGCGTCAAAAAGAATTAAAAAGCAATGACAACAGAATAGCCCTTCTCAAAGCCAAGAGTCAGCCTGGGCCAAGTTCATCTTCACTTGCTTCCTCTCCCCTTTCTGGGGACAGCTCTCCCCTTGTGCTCAAGGCCTGCTCCTCACCCACAGACCCCAGTCCTGCACCTCCCAGGCCACCCAGCGTGTTCTGCACCCAAAGCTGCCTGTGCTTCGGTCCCTGTCCTCCAGAGTCTGCTTCCAGCTCACCAAGTGGATTACCAAGGGCAGCGACCTCAGCAACATCAAATGTGGCTGGTCCTCCTGGCCCTGCGGAGGCCAAGAACATGACCTGAGCACCAGGAGGTGGACAGAAAGTCCCATCAGGACTTGATAAAATACCAGTCTTGGGATTGCAGCTGCCCAGCTGTGCCCGGAAGCCTGTCCCTCTGTCCCACACACCTAATACGACATAAGGGAGCCACTGGCTGGGCCGGCAGCCCGTGCCGAGTCAGCTCTGAAGGTCATTCAGCTGGACGTGGTCTCTGCACTTACGGGCACACGCTCCTCCTCCTTCTAATGCCCAGGTCCTTGCTGAGGTCCTGGTGCGTGTGCATGCCCACCCCCTTCACACACAGCGACAGCCGGCAGCTCCTTCCCCGTCACCCCCCTTCACCCTCATCCGTCCCCGGAGAGGCCGCCTAGGTGGCAATTAAGAGAAAAACTGCAGCCACACTGCCTGGTGTCCCACTGAGTCATCGTTTGGTCAGGAGTGAGCTATTCGTGCCTCTCCATGCCTCGGTTTCCCCGTCTGGAATGGTGCCTACCTCACTGGGCTACGGTGAGGGCTAAACGCGTGAATCCGAAGCATTAGAACAGGGGCTTCCATGAAGGAAGGGTGAGCTCTCCTTACGAGGGCGGAAACCTCGGCCCTGGTCCCCAGCAGACCAGAGAGGGTGGCTCCGCGACATGAGAGTGGCCCTGGGCTTTTTGTCTGTCAGTCCTTTTTGAGAAAGGGGGCCGTGAGAAAGCTGATTAGGGGATTCCCGATGTGAAGATAATTATCGAGCCAACCACAGAGTCTAGGAACAGGACTGACTGGAGGTGTGTGGGGACCCCCGGCAGACTAAAGATGGATGTTCTGTAAATAGAAATTCACAAAGAGCAGCTGAGCAGCGGGGGAGGGTAAACCAGACTGCCAAGGCCCAGCCTCGGCACCCACGGGCACAACTGTGCCACCTGCCCCCAGTCCAGCTCTGCCAGGCGACAAGTCAATGGCCCCCGGAGCATGGGCGCTAAGAGATAGCCCCGAGCTGGGCTGAGCACCAGTGAGGCCCGCCCCAAGCAGCAGCACAGAGGCCGATCGTTGAAAGAATGAGGAGAGTCTAACACGTGCTGGAATTCCAGCCCGAGTCACTGTGGCCGGTAGAGGTTCCCAATGGATCTGTCCCTGCCCTGAAATTTGGGAAGTGCCACTTGGTTGTGGGGGGAGGGGCAAGGGAGTCTTTGTTTACTAAGCTGGGAGCTCCCTGAAGGGCAGTCCCACGGCTGGGGACACAGGAACACAGGGCCGGGCGGGGCTGGCACTTCGGCCACAGAACCCTGGCTTCAGCAAGAGCTGCAGAAAGGTCCTTCTCCTGCACATCTGTCTCCCCACACGCTCGCACCCTCCCCCGCAACCCCAGTCCTTGTCCTGGCCTCACCCCGACTCCCCTGGGAGTCCCCTAACCGGTCTACCACCTGTTCTGAGCCTCTCAAGTCCGCCCCCTCCCTGCAGCCAGAGTGAAGCTCCATCCGCCATGTCTCTTGAAACACTCCACAGACCTCTCCTTGATCTTGGAAAGGACCAGAGATGTTAACACGGCTCTGAAGCCCTGTGCAAACTCTCCCCACCTCTGGCATCATCTGGCCCCATCCGGGCCCACATTCTCCTGACTCTCTGGCCTTCCTTCAATTCCTCGAATGTGCGGTGACTTTTCCAACCCCAGGGCCTTTGCACCTGCTGTGCCCACTGCCTGAAGCATCCTTCTCCAAACCTTGTGAATCCAGCTGACTCTACACATCTCTGAGTTGTTAACTCTTAGCGAGATCGTCTCCCTCCTCCCCGACCAGCTCACCCTCCTCTCACCCCCTCACACATTTGCTTGGTACCCACCTCCCTTCTTTGCGGTTGTCACTTCACATTTGTTCGTGGGAATAGTTTTTTGCCTCCCTTGGCAGTTTGCTTCTTGAAATCAGTACCATGCTGGCTTGTGTCTGCAATTACCCTTCCAGGGTGGGATAGTGGGCAACCCAGACTGGAAGTTCAAAGACAGCCCTCACCGTCCCATGTCCACCTCTGCCCACTTATGTCCAGTCCATCTTCAAGTCCTGTCGTGTCTTCTCTAAAGCCATGATTCTCAACTGGGGGTGATGTCACCCCCCAGGGGACTTTAGGCAATGTCTGGAGACATTTTTTTGTTTGTTTGTCACAACCGGAGAGAGATGCTGCTGGCACCTACTAGGTAAATGCCAAAGTTGGGGCATCCTACAACACAGAAGGCAGCCCCCACAACGGAGAATGCGCCAGCCCAAACGTCAGGGTGCCGCTGTGGAAAGCCATTCTAAAGCATGCTCCACGCCCTTCCACTCTGCTCCACGTCCACTGTTCCCTCTGCCTGTCACCTGGAGGTCACCTCGGATTCCCCATGGCCTTCTCTGCACAGCAGCCAGCATAACCTTGTCTGAGCAGGTCCCTCCCCTACTTAAAGCCTTCCAATGGCTCCCTATCACCCTCAGAAGAAAACTCACACTTGCCCACAGCCTGCCAGCCTCACACACTCTGACCTGAGACACGCTGGCTTAACGGTTAGGAGGTGAGCTCAGAAAGTGCTGACTGGTAATTCACTCATGCGTGTGTGTGCCCTTTCCCATCAGAAGGTAAGCTCCTCGTGAGGAGTGAGTTTGTCCATCCTGTTCTCTGCAGGAGCCCAGCCCCTAGAGCAGTGCTTGGCACACAGTAGGGACCCAGAAGAATGTTTATCGAATGAGTCAATGAATGCATGGATCTCAGAATTTCTCTAAAGGAAGCAAAATGTTACCCAAACCATTACTGTGTCATCGTCTGTGCCCTCAAGGTATTTCACAAACTAATTAAGGAGACCAGATATAGACACAAGAATTAATTAAAGATCAGTTCTCAAAAACTTCTCACGGGCCCATGAAACCCAGGTTCTCAATCCCTGTCTAATGGCACAGCATCTGAAGGCAATGGCTGCCTACAGTTACACTTGAGTGACTATTTAAAGCCCTGAGCTTTGTCACCAGCTTTCGGTGTGCTCTGGGGGTGAAATTATGGTTCAGCTAAAACGCTGACACACGTGGGCACAGGCGAAGGTCATCTACTTCCACATCGTGTCCCCATCTGAGAGCTCACGTCGCTGGAGCAGGGCCCTGACTGCAGGGAGCGTGCGAGAAGTGCTTTTGGCTCCAGGAAAGCAGAACTGGATGTCTCCTCAAGATTCTTTTTTTTAAAAAAAGCTAATTCAATAAATATATTGCAGAGAGAGGCCTATTCTGGGCACGAAAGGGGAAAGTACAATATAGTTCTAAGGAAATGAGAGAGCTAGCAGTGGGCTCAAGGACTCAACAGGCACTGGGGAAAATGGCAACAAATAAAAGTATAACGTAAATCATAACCACGCGCGCGCGCGTACACACACACACACACACACACACACACACACACACACACACACACAGGACCAAAAGCGTGCCAAGCACTCTTCCGGTTACTTTACGTTCATTTATTTAAAGCCCACAGTGACCAGGCGAGGAAGGTCTTCTTTACCGCGCCCATTTGACAGAAGAGGAAAGGCAAGTCCAGGGAGGTCAGATAACAATTTCTAGGGAAACGACACGGGACAAACAGAGCCAACTGGAGGAGCCGAGGGGTGAGCCAAGCCAGGGGACCTTCTTGGAGGAGGAGGCAGGGAGGCTGCTGTCCGATGGAGGAAGGGGTGGAGAGGGGAAAGGGGAGGCGCCAACAAGCGGAAATCAGCAAACCGCGCTGACTCTCATCCAGAGCCGCTGTGTGATTTCACCGAAACCTGCTCGTCTAAGCCTTGCGGCACCTCCGTGGAAGAGAAGTCAGTGTTCCCATCTTATAGGTGGGGAAACTGAGGCCCAAGTTAATTAACCGGCTTCCGGTTACATAACTCTCAAGCAGCACAGCGAGGCTGGGCACCAGGTGTCTCTGATCTTTCTGGCTTTGCTGCGCTCTCGAGAGCAAAGAGGCGTCCTGCGCGGAGGGACGCGGGACCATCCTGTGTGGTGTGGGGGTGGGGGTTCGCCTTTATGGCTTCCTTCAAAGCGTACCCCATCTCTCAGGCAACGCCGATGCCTACGAGACTAGCTGCCCTTCTGTAACTGTTTCCTGAAGCCTTTCTCCCCCC